TCATACCATCCTTTTCATCATCATTGCTATGAATTTCCTCAAACTTATTCATCAGATACCCTGGAGAAGGAAATGGCAACCCATTCCAGTATTCATGCCTGGAAAATCCTGTGGACTAAGGAGCCTGGTGGGCTACAGTCTATGGGGTTGCAAAGAGTCAGACACGACTGAGCAACTTCACTTCACGTCACTTATTCATCAGAAGAAATCTCTTTCATGTGTCAGTAGCCACCTTTATCTCTGTCCATGAAGGGGAAACCATGACTGAGCTTAGCAATTCACTTTTTGATTTCTGAACATGTCAGGAAATCAGTCATTCTGATTGCTGTCCCTGTGAGTAACCCCTTTATCCATCTTCCCTAGTGACACCCAGACTCAGTCCTTATGTGGCTGAAAAAAGTTAGTGATCCCCAGTCAATGTCACCAAACTACCAGCATCAGTATGCATCTCTGGCCTATTCCAATTATCTCTGGCTACAAACCAAGCCACCTCAAAACTTAGTGATTTAAAACAATCATTTTACTTGCTCATGATTCTAAAAATCTGAACAACATGCAACTGAGTAGTTCTTCCTTCAGTCCTGTTGGCAGTCACTCATGTGAGAGTGAAAATGAAAAAAACAGTATCTCAGTATTATTATGAAAATAGTTTTGACCTTACACACCATCTGGAAGGGTCTCAGGGACTACCTCCCAAGGGGTCCCTGGAACCCACTTTGAGAACCACTAGGCAACCTACTTTTGGTTCTTCATTTTCAGACTGGACTATGGCTTGTCTGGGACAAGGGACACCAGTTAACTCTGGGGAGACTCTCTGAAGTCCTGAGGGTGCTGGGGGAACTTTTCTAATTGCCAAACAGTGAGCAGGAGCAACCAGTGCCCAACCTGACTGACATCACTAAATTCAGTTTCCAATCTTTGAAGTGACTTAGCTTCCTTCATGGCACTCCTACATGCAGACTCTAGCTAAGAGATGCATCCAAGGCAGAGTTCCTGTTATCTTCTTACAAGGTTTGTGGGATTTGTTTGGAGTCAATTTTTTCCTGCTATCCAGCCTGAGTCTTGCTTCCTGGTAGATCTTCCATGACACTTGCCACATTTTCAAAATATGTCTCGGCAGCATCACCCTTATATTTATTAAAGGAAGGAGGGGTTGAGCATGCAGCTCTCATTAAAACCCATGGCAGTCACACTGCTTTGAAAATTTAGTGGTTAGCTAATATAAAAGTCATAAAAGGTTTGGGGTTCTGAGGACTTCCATAAACTTACAATTTTAGGTGCCCTGAGATGCAATTTCTGAGCAATTTCTTTGATCTCTGGCTGCCCTGGTAAATCATTTATTAGGGCAGTCTTTTTAAACAGAATCCTCTCAACCTCTCCCACAAGATATATAAAATTACATACTCTGCAAACAGTCATCAACCCCCTGCACTTACTGTATTCACTGATTACAAACTGATGGAGATGTGAGGAGCTTTTTCAGCCAAGTCTTTTTATTCTCAGAAATAGGCAGAAGAGACAATGATGATGTGCTACACTACGCCAACATAGTTGCCTGAAATTTCCAGAATGGGATACTGCCATACCACAAACATCCTTCAGTGGTATTTGTTTTTTAAAGACTGATGTTTACAACTAATAGAACTCTAAGCCTTTCTGGGTCAATCTCCAAGTCAGCCTGCTCATACCAGTCTTTGTATTTTCCTCCCCCTCTTTCCCTAACCTGCTTAATCTTTCTGTCTGCCCTGATTTTTAGGAACTCCAACTCCTAAAAGAGAGAGGAGGAGCCATCAGATCTCCATAACCACCCCACCTTCTCTCCTCTCTCTTCTCCCCCCATCACCTTGTGTGTGTCTATATTACTAAAAATACTAGGAAGAACACATTATCAAAATGCCCGAAGAGTTCCTAACACTTCTCTTAAGCCACTAATACAATAACGAATACTTACTGAGTGCTACTTACTACATGCCAGGCCCTATGCAGGGTGTTTTACAGGCAACGTCCATTGTCAAATTCTGATTTGCTGCTGGAAGTTGTATCTGACTTATTTCTTGGGGGAACCAATTATAAAGAAGAAGCCCTGGCCTTCCTAATACTATGCTGCTGCTGCTAAGTCACTTCATTTGTGTCCGACTCTGTGCGACCCCACAGACGGCAGCCCACCAGGCTCCCCCGTCCCTGGGATTCTCCAGGCAAGAACACTGGAGTGGGTCCCGGTATTCTACTTCCACTTTAATTTTAAAAAGAAAAGAGTTCATCCCTTTGCATGCACCCAGCCCTCCTCTTCGAAATGGGGACTTTCCCTGTGGTTAGCATTTCAGCACCAAGATAAAAGCCCTCTGAGACATTCTGCTGGAGATGCAGCCAAGCTCTTCCACCTAATTGGTAGGAAAGTCAGTGAGGGCTCTGTGGAATTGCCGTGCCTAACTCATAATGGATTAGTAAACTGAGAATGAATGAGGTCACAGAATTGTCACTGATGGGCAGAAAAAGTATGTGGATACTTTCAGGATATTGCAAATGGATCACCTTATAAAGTAAAATCGAGCTGTTCTTTTTCCTGAGTTTGATGAAAGACCATTTTCTGTCACTTAAATATGACTATCATGTAAGAGTTTACATGAGACTTGTATTTAGAATTTAGCTACAGGATAATTATCTTTCTAGGGGATTGCTAGGCTTTCTTGGAATGAAAGAACTAAGGAAGCTCAAAGACAAGTGACATTTAATCTCAATAACTCTGTCTTCATGATTTCAAGTTTCTTTCTTCCTTTTCTTTCTCCTGATTTTCTGATCTTAATTTCTATTTTACTAATGATAATGTATAGATTCATTAAGATATTTTACTTCAAATCATTTTTAGGGGCCTAAGATATAAATAAGTATTCTTGGCTAAAGTGCTGCCTTTGGTGTCTGTGCACTTACAGCTCACAGATTGCCATGCCTGCTTCCTCTTCACTGGTTCATTCAATAGAGCTTTATAAACACAGGAGAGCAGTGTAGGGCAGTTGAAAAGGACACAGGTCCCAGAATCAGCTTCCACCACTTATAATCTATGACCTCCAGCAGGTCATCTAATTTCTTTGTGTCCCAGTTTCCTCATCTGGAAAATGGAACTGATTGGTGACATTCTTAAATCTTAATAATGAAGATTAAAATAATACAGGAATAGTATTTAAAAACAACATCTAGTACATAATGTCTCAATAATATTAGCTTTCACGATGATCACTGTTATTTTTTATTTGATGCTGTTATGGACTGAACTGTGTCCCTACCCAAAATTCATCCATTGAAGTCCTAACCCCCAGTACCTCAGAATATTACTCTATTTTGAGAGAGGGCCTTGGAAGAGCTAATTAAGTTAAAGTCATTTGGGTGGTCCCTAATCCAATATGATTGGTGTCCTTATAAGGAGGAGGACATTTGGACACAAACATATACAAAGGGAAGACCATGTGAAGACATAAGGAGACAGTGGTCATCTATAAGTCAAGGAGAGAAACCTCAGAAGAAACCAACCTTGTCAACACCCTGACCTAGAGCCTCCAGAAACTTGAGAAAATTAATTTCTGTTATTTAGATTGGTTGTACATTTTATATGGCAGTCCTAGGACATTAGTACAGACACCTACTATGTGCTTGGCTGTTTCCCAGGCACTGGACATATAGTGGTGAAGATGACAAACAAGGGTCCTGCTTTTATGAAGGTTTTATTCTGGTGGAGATAACTAATGAACATATAAGCAAATCTAGGAACAACATAATTTCAAGAAATAGTAGATGTTATGAAAAAACAGTGATGATGATATGAATGTTGTGACATGGGTTTTGGTGCATCTACTCAGACTAGATGGTAAGCCACCAGAGAGGACCTGCTCATGAGCTGACAAGCGGGAGCCAGTGTAGGAACACCAGCTCCAGAATACCCCAGGCAGAAGGAAGCTGCTTAATCTGTCGGAGGATCGAAGAAATGGACACTGTGGCTGGAGGACAAAGAAGAAGGGGAGATGGGCAGGAAAGGAGGTGAGGGAGGAGGGTCAGGTCCCAGGGCCTTCAGGCCAAAGAAAGATATTTGAATTCATATTTTAAAAGCTTACTATGCTGAGAGGAGAATGAATGAGAGGAGGCTGGAGTAGAATCTGGGAAAGCAGTCAGAAAAATGGTACATGTAGACTGGGGGAGAGTGGTGAAGACAGAAAGAAGACAGATGAATGAATGTAATTCCTGATGCATTTTGAAGGAAAAATTTATAGAACTTGTTTGTGAATTACACACAAGATAGAGGACAGGTGAATATCAGAGAGATTAAAAAGGTGCTTGGTTATTAAATTGAATAACTGCATAGGAAGTGGTAGCATTTGCTGTGGGGAGGACAGTAGAAAGTAGGGGCATAGGAAGCAGTTCGGGGGTAGAAATTAGAGCCACACCATGACCCTACCATGGCCAAGATGCCTATTATACTTTCAGTTGGAAATGTCAAGAAGCCTGTTAATATTGGAGTTCGAGCCCCAGGAGACTGAGATCTAGAGATACACATATGTGTGTCAGCCATGAGAATGGATAGGATCACCTAGGAAGATGCCAGAGCAGAAAACCTGGGAATAGGACAGAGCTCCTGTGTGCTCTAAATGAAAAGTGTAAGAGCAGGAGTTTAAGAAAAAGCCACCAGTGAGGTAGGAAAAAAGCAGAAGAGTGCATATCACAGAAGTAGAGAGGAAATGAGAGGCAATAACTACACACACTGACATTTCATTCACAAGGATACATGGTGGTAAGTATGTTGTAGAATGCATGTGTGTTTCCAGAGGACTCACATACACATGTGTGTGTGCATGCATCCTGAGTGCTATCGGAGTATATAGTTACAGAATCCAATGCTTCTAGGGTTTGCAGCTCTTTTTAAAATTACATTTTACACATCAGTAAACTTGTAATGCAGGAACTGCTTTCTTAGGGTTATTTATATCCCTGGGTTGCAGAAGGATTTGTCAGGAAATAATATGAATGTTATTTATCTGACTGTTCAGCTTTATTGACTGCCACATTTCACATCCTTCAGTTCTTTTTGGCAGAGGAGTAAATAACACTGCTATTAACCTCTAACACTGGTATAAAAATAGGCAGTTATTAAGGGGTAAATATTACTTTGACGATTATTGCCCCAGTCTGCTTTCTCTGGGAGATGTAATAAATAAGGCGTCTCGTGGGGTCCACAAAGTTCCCAACTTTGTTGAGGGAGCTGGCAGCTCTCCTGGCCACGGGCTGTGATTTGGAGCCATGCGGAGCCGACAGAAAACACTCCATGAGCTATTGCTTGTTCCTGGAGGAAATCAAGACAGCGTTAATGCAAAAGCTGAAAGTATCAGGTTAAGATTTCTACTGGGAGCGAATTAGGGAGCTCTGAGACCCCAGCTAAGAGCCCAGGGTTCTGGGATCAGGAGCAGGTGAGTCTGTGGAAGCCTGGGGTTTGCTGTTGTGTTCCCAGTTGATGAACCCATGCTACAGCTGTAGAAGCTCAGTTCAGTTCAGCTCCTCAGTCATGTCCGACTCTTTACAGCCCCATGGACTGCAGCACACCAGGCTTCCCTGTCCATCACCAACTCCCAGAGCTTGCTCAAACTTATGTCCATCGAGTCAGTGATGCCATCCAACCATCTCATCCTCTGTTGTCCCCTTCTCCTCCTGCCTTCCATATTTCCCAGCATCAGGGTCTTTTCTAACGAATCAGTTCTTTGTATCAGAAGCTCAGGGCCCAGAGTTTTCCATGGTCAGTATTAATGAACAGGTTAACTAGCAGTTTAACAAGGAGTACTCCATTTTAGAGCTAAAGAGGTGCAGAGTTATGGTAACAGGCAGAAAGAGAGAGAGAGAGAGAGTCTAAGACTAGAAGCCAAGAACTCAAGCCTGTAGTCTCAGTGCCAGCCTCCAGTTATGGTTCTGGGCAAGTTCTTTGCCTTTTCATCCATAGTAAACAAAAGGACTGAAATACATGGTTTCTGAAGACCTCTCTAGCCCAGAAATGCCTCATTGAACACCCAGTTAGGCCTGACTGGGTGAATCTACCAGGTCTGGGGAAAGTCCTAGTGAGGGTGACCTGATAGTGGTGATGTCCACCCCATAGGATTAGCAACCACCTTGTCATTCTACAGGAGGTGCCAGTAAGAGTGGGACCTGTATGCTCAAGCAAGCCCTGGCTGTAGCCTGAACAGAGAGCCACTCAGCTTTGCCTCTCTGCCAGAGATACTATAACATTGGCAAACATCGTACGTTATTGTTTGCTCTCCAGGACTAAATTTTTTGTCTTCAGAGATGATTTTTTATCTTGTTTTAACCTCTGATTACAAATGTAAAAACATGGGATTTTTCTTCTCCTTGGAAAGCATTTAAATCCAGACTGCATGATTAAAAAAGGTTTTGTGCAGAATGAGAGGCATGCATGTTTCATATTGTACAGGAGGTTAACTACTGAAAAGCTGCTTTGATGTGAATGAATCCTAGAAACAACATTTAAGAGAAATTTTGTAAAATGAAGGGTCTGGCATTAATTTAGTTTGTATGTTTGAAAAGCATGGGTTTTCACACATCAGTGGTAGTGGAGGTGGTGATTCTGCTTTCCTACATCTTAAACTATGCTAAAATAATTAAACGTAGTATCACTCAAGCTACTTGCTTCAGTAAGACAAAACTTTATGGGATCCTTGCACTTCCATTCTGTTTGGAAAGCAGATGATACTTATTCAAGAGAGTTTTACTTATGAAACAATAGAAATATGTGCAAAAGAGTGAGCCATATAATGTCATAGACCTCATTTGGCATAAATGTCTATAGGAGGACTTGGAAATCTAGGCCTCATTGAATTTTCCCAGGATTTGCTATTTTATAGTACAACATTAAGGGATTAAAATATGATATTTTTATGCTATTTTATGCTATTAAAATAAAATAGCATAAAATACACTATGCTAGTATTTCTTAATGGTTGTAAATTGTTGCAGGGGGGCATTTAAAATCATTACTAGGGTCACTCGACTGGCTAGTCAATAACGAATCAGTTCTTTGTATCAGAAGCTCAGGGCCCAGAGTTTTCCATGGTCAGTATTAATGAACAGGTTAACTAGCAGTTTAACAAGGAGTACTCCATTTTAGAGCTAAAGAGGTGCAGAGTTATGGTAACAGGCAGAAAGAGAGAGAGAGAGAGTCTAAGACTAGAAGCCAAGAACTCAAGCCTGTAGTCTCAGTGCCAGCCTCCAGTTATGGTTCTGGACAAGTTCTTTGCCTTTTCATCCATAGTAAACAAAAGGACTGAAATACATGGTTTCTGAAGACCTCTCTAGCCCAGAAATGCCTCGTTGAACACCCAGTTAGGCCTGACTGGGTGAATCTACCAGGTCTGGGGAAAGTCCTAGTGAGGGTGACCTGATAGTGGTGATGTCCACCCCATAGGATTAGCAACCACCTTGTCATTCTACAGGAGGTGCCAGTAAGAGTGGGACCTGTATGCTCAAGCAAGCCCTGGCTGTAGCCTGAACAGAGAGCCACTCAGCTTTGCCTCTCTGCCAGAGATACTATAACATTGGCAAACATCGTACGTTATTGTTTGCTCTCCAGGACTAAATTTTTTGTCTTCAGAGATGATTTTTTATCTTGTTTTAACCTCTGATTACAAATGTAAAAACATGGGATTTTTCTTCTCCTTGGAAAGCATTTAAATCCAGACTGCATGATTAAAAAAGGTTTTGTGCAGAATGAGAGGCATGCATGTTTCATATTGTACAGGAGGTTAACTACTGAAAAGCTGCTTTGATGTGAATGAATCCTAGAAACAACATTTAAGAGAAATTTTGTAAAATGAAGGGTCTGGCATTAATTTAGTTTGTATGTTTGAAAAGCATGGGTTTTCACACATCAGTGGTAGTGGAGGTGGTGATTCTGCTTTCCTACATCTTAAACTATGCTAAAATAATTAAACGTAGTATCACTCAAGCTACTTGCTTCAGTAAGACAAAACTTTATGGGATCCTTGCACTTCCATTCTGTTTGGAAAGCAGATGATACTTATTCAAGAGAGTTTTACTTATGAAACAATAGAAATATGTGCAAAAGAGTGAGCCATATAATGTCATAGACCTCATTTGGCATAAATGTCTATAGGAGGACTTGGAAATCTAGGCCTCATTGAATTTTCCCAGGATTTGCTATTTTATAGTACAACATTAAGGGATTAAAATATGATATTTTTATGCTATTTTATGCTATTAAAATAAAATAGCATAAAATACACTATGCTAGTATTTCTTAATGGTTGTAAATTGTTGCAGGGGGGCATTTAAAATCATTACTAGGGTCACTCGACTGGCTAGTCACCGGCTAAGATAACTAAAAGAAATGTGCATTTGGTAAAGGACAAGATAATTGTGTGTTTAATAGTAACATAGAGTGTAAACACATATATGATACACATGTAAGATGGGAATGGAGCACAAGGAGAGCGAAAGTAACTTGGAAAAATGACAAGAGGGGATTATAGAGAGGTTGGATGATCACAGAGGAAGGGAAAGGTGCTTCTCTAACCACAGAATTCTTCACTGATGAGGAACCCTGCCCACCCATTGCCCTGGAACTAAGGCCACTCTAGCATGAGACAGCCAGTCTGTGGAACATCCAAAAGTCCCAACACTGACACACTGCCAGGGAGTCCGCCCTCCTAACCCTGCATAGCCCATTGGTCAGCAATCACAATAAGTGCTCCTGTTGCTATGGAGACTGTGGCTATAGTGGTCCTTGGTATGAACTCCTCCCACAAACGGTTCATCTCCTCTCAGCACTCCTTTTTTTTTTACTGGACCTGTTCTCTTCTTTCTAAAAACAAAACTTGATTTGTCCATGGTTCCTACCTGAAAATGAGCAAGGATTCAGACAGAACAGTCACAGTAGGCCATGGGGGTCCTCCTGAGAAAGAAGTCATTTTAATGGAAAAACAGCCCTCACCCCTGGAGCTGTCCAGAGTAGTTTGGGACAAGGGATTCTGAGGATAGGGTGGTGTCTTTCACCTAGAATTGACTACCAGCTGTAGCTCCCATTGGAATCCTTGTGGGTCCTTTGATTGGAGGGAAGAAGTAGGGTCTCAATGAAAACAAAGCTAATCAAGAGAAGGGGGAAAATATTTGTGAGTCTATGTAAGACCTTCCTAAGACCACCCCCCTACCCAAGAACTATCAAGGGACACATTTACTGGGTATCTTTTCATGGGAAGGGGTCAGGAGTGCTATATATCTATAAGAACTGGTTTAAACAAGAACTAGTAGAATTCGAGTTGTTGTTACATAATTCTATTTGTACTCCAGAATGAGGAGATCTGGAGAAATCAAGTCCCCACTGTCAAATCAGATGTTCCCCCAGATACTCTGGTGCACAAGATTTAGATCTAATGTCATTGTCACAGTGTGGCCCTTGGGCTGGCAGCATCACTACCACCTGGGAACTTGTTGGAAGTACAGAATCTCGGGCCCCACTCTAGACCTAATGAGTCAGAATCTGCATTTAACAAGATCCTATGCACATTAAAATTTGAGAAGCACTTCCCAAAGTAGTAGTTCTCAGTTTTGGTCACACACCAGAATTGTCTAGGGAGCTTAAAAACTACTGATGCTTGGGTCTTATTTCCAAAAGATTCTGATGGTGTGTCCTGGGCTCTGAGATTTTTTAAAAAGCTCACTATATGATTTTAAGATGCAGCCAGGGAAAAGAACTAAAGGGGGAACTCTGAGAATCCATGCTAAAATCATTTTGTCAAGTAACCTATAATGGGAGCCTCATGGCCATCCTACCTATTTTCAGTTGTTGGGTACATTCAAATTAAGATGTTTGCATTTACAAAATGTTAGTTGTGATTTGTAATCACAATTACAGGTACAGTTTGACTTTCACAGAAATATTATGAAAAGTCATGTGCAATGACATGTTGGTAGCTTGAACTGTATTTTTACACAGATATATTAACATTTCAAGTCTTTTATCTAAGTCTATGCCTTCTGTTCAGTTCAGTTGCTCAGTCATGTCTGACTCTTTGTGACCCCATGGACTGCAGCTCACCAAGCTTCCCTTTCCATCACCAGCTCCTGGAGTTTACTCAAACTCATCTCCATTGAGTCAGTGATGCCATCCAACCATCTCATCCTCTGTCATCCTGTTCTCTTCCTGCCTTCAATCTTTCCCANCTTCACTTTCTGCCATAAGGGTGGTGTCATCTGCATATCTGAGGTTATTGATATTTCTCCTGGCAATCTTGATTCTAGCTTGTGCTTCATCTAGCCTGGCATTTCACATGATGTACTCTGCATAGAAGTTAAATAAGCAGCCTTGCTTATTATACAAGCCTTGACAATATACAGCCTTGACATACTCCTTTCCTGATTTGGAACCAGTCTGTTGTTCCGTGTCCAGTTCTAACTGTTGCTTCTTGACCTGCATACAGATTTCTCAGGAGGCAGGTCAGGTGGTCTGGTATTTCCATCTCTTTAAGAATTTTCTGTTAGTCAGTGTCATAGTGACTTAAGACACACTTGTTATTTATAGAATCTTTTTTATATAGCAGGGCACCTTACATTTCTTTCATAATGTAAGAAACAGTCCTACCTAATATTTCTAAGGTTAAGTTTTCATGTTAGGCTTATTTGAAATGAAGGGTTAACAGATACCTCATGCATATGTTACAGTTTCATATCTCATAATTTTACCTAATGGCTAAGCATTAGTTCCCATATTTGAACTTCAGACTCAATCAGAATGAAATCTTCCTTTCTCTCTGCATCCCTGCCAATGTTGCTCTGTTAGGACCCCTTCTTTATCCACTCTATTTTGCTCCTACAAGAAACAAGAATAAAAAGATCCAAAAAAAGAAAAAAAAGAATAAAAAGATCTGTGATTATCTCAATGACATGTTCATATGAAGTGCTCAATAAATGTCTGCTGAGCCCATGGTGGGTGAACAGCTGTGCAAATGCACAGAGCCCAAGGGGGCTGTGTGGTGTAGTCAGCATCTCCACTGCTGGTCGGGGAGGCAGCGATGCCCTAGATAAGCATGATGACATGTTCGGTGAGCCTACCTCCCTAAGCTTCCGGCTGCCTCCCACCTTCTCTCCCTGATGGATCTCTCCTCACTTGCCTATGTATACCAGGACTCCACACACTGCAGTGCTTGGTAGTTCACACAGTGCCTAGTTTTTCTTTGCGTCTGTTGTACAGAGCTGTATCGTCACCTTATCTCCCCCTCTTTCTACAGAATAGACGCTCCCTTTCCACCCAAATATTCTATCATTTCTCATACACCTCTAAAGAAGGCACACATGTAGAGAAGGCCCAGGTGAACTGAAATAAATACACCCGACAGGATTTGCAGTTGCAAAATCTATATGGTTAGGATATCATCTGACTTGACCAGGTAGTATGGGGCCATTTTAGGACAATGCTGGAATCATTGTCGAAATTGTTAATTTCATTCAAATTTTACCTTGAAGTGAAGTTAATACTTTGAATGTCATAAACAATACTTACTGATGGAAGGGGAGAAAGAGAGAAGGAAGAAAAGGAGGAAAGGAGGTAAAAAGAGAGGGAGGGAGGAAGGAATTTGCCCATATAGTCAGAAAGTATTTTTATCTGGTGATATTAAGTGCTGAATTACAGGGTAAACATTAAAAAATGTTCTGATGCTGAAAATTATACATAGCATGATGAGTAAAATGACTCATTTTTCTAAATAGTTGATAGAAAATAAAATATCACCCAATAGTGTTGCTTCCCACCGTAAATCTGTTTTTTATTGGGCTGTGCAGAGGAAGTTAGGAGGGGTAGGTCATCCTAACCTTCTGGAGGGACTGATGGAATTTTAAAACCAAATAAATACAACCCTCCAGTTAGACAAATGGAAATTTGTGTTTGTATTTTTCTTTAATGTCTCATTCTATCACTGGTCTTTTTCTTGTCAATAATGTTGACAATGTAGTTAATGAATAGATTTTTCCATTCAAAATAGCACACATTTCCCTACCTCAAGAGTAACTTTGTTTTGTGGACGATCAGATGACCCACATGATAAACAAGGGCGAGCACCCAGTTCTTTGCTACTTTAGAGCTTTATGTTCCACAGGATGGATCAGAGGGTCAAGACTAGGAAAGCAGAAGCAAGCTTAAAATAATCACTGATCGGACATTGAGAAATGAGAGAAATGCCCAAAGAAAAACTGAGAGACTCTTCTAATAGCCATATTCCTGTTAGATGAGAAACCTCGTCAAGGCATCTCAACGGAGTTAGCATGCCATGCCTCACCCTAACTCCCCCACCTCCACGTGTGACAGAGTAGCAGGACCACAGGAAGCCCTGGATCCACAATAGATCTGGATATGGAAGAGGATTGGAGCAAAAGTCCCCCATCCACACTCATGCCCTTCCAATCCATTTGGCATAATGTCGGTCTGGTCAAATCTGAACCAATCATACTTCCATTTAAGCCTCCTCTTGCCCTTTGGGTACCAGGTTACGTGATCTGCTTCTTCCACAGGCTCCCACCTCATTCTTGTACCTTCTTGCCTGTGTTCCTGCCTCTCAGTCCTTTTCTTGGTTTTTTTCAAACACGCCACTGTCTGCCCTGCCTAAGGCCTTTGTGTCTGAGGTTCCTTCTATGGACAAAGTTCTACTTTTCCCTGGCTGACTCTAACTTATTCTTCAGCTCTTTATTTAAAAGTCATTTCCTCAAGGAAACTTTACCTAACTCCCTTATTAGGTCAGACATCCTAGTTATGTGAACATATAGCATCCTGTATTTTCTCCTAGCATTATGTTACTTGGAAATCCTGGGTTCACAATGAATTCATTTCAATTGTATGTATAATGCATATTTCATCCACCTGATTTTAAATTTCGTAAGAACAGAGCTGATCCTATCTTGTTCAACATTATAAACCTAGCATAGTACTTGCTACATAGTAGGTCCTAGTAAATACTTGTTGGTGGTGTTTAAACAAATGATTAAAGTGGCACTTTAACCTTGAGGCTAGTCTCCCATAGAACTCTAACCCACCCAAGGCAGTTGATCCACATCTCAGGACATATAAATGAGGCTCTGACCATGTGGGCCAGAAGGAAAAGGCAATTATGATAGTAAGAGAAAAGCAGAGCCATTGGGATTAACAAGAGCCTTTGTACACAGAACAAGGGTACAAATAGCTTTAGAATCATGGAAAAATAATGGCTTTCTAAAAAGAAATATGAAGAAGCAGAAAAGAAAATTCAAATAGAGAACTGGCAAGGAACACAGCATCCCTGGGGGAGCTGATGTAGATGAGCTGAGTAGCCCATGGTAGGGGCTACAGGTTGAGGGGAGGGAGAAAGGAACTTGGAGGGAGATAGAGTGGATAGCCAGGAGCCTACAACATTGGCACAGCACATCAATCCTGCTGAGTTAGCTCAGGTGAAGACCAGAACCCCATCTATCTGATAGAGAAAAGGGGGACTTCTAACACCAGGAATAAAGAACTGCTAGCAGGAGATGAGATGAGGAAAAAGAAATTGAATTGTAGAGAGACACCCGACTTAAAAAGTGGAATATCATAGATGAAACTGATTTATTTGACTAAAAGGCCAGTTATGGCATAAAAGTTAAAAGTCCATTTGTTTTCCCATATCACAAAATGCGAATCACTAAATTTGCAATATGAATGCTTTACTATACTTTAAAAATTCTGAATTCTTTAGGCTGTTCTTTTTCTGTTCCAAAAAAGCTATTTTAGAAGCTCACATTAGAATATTTTATAACTCTTTTATCCCTCCTGAACATCTGTGAACTGGAAAGAATATAGTATATTACAGAAACAATCCATTTAAAGAAAAACAATTAAAATGAAAACTACTTCCATTTCTGTGGCATAAAACTCTAATTCTCTCCCCTTTGCAATTTTATTACCACCCTGACATGATATAGTCACAGCTTCACTTATACACAATGTTAATTTCATTCATACTCTACTTAATCTTCAAAACACTGCAGAATAACATTTTTCTTCAGTAATTTATCATTTGCTATGATAAGGCAATGTGTTTAGAGGATGTTAGAGGTTTTTTTTTTTAAGTTTGCATTTATCTTGATGCTGAAATGTGCTCTGAATGCTATTAAAATATATCATTTATACACTTTCACATTTAACTATATTAACTCTACCTTAACTAGACATTTATTAAGAGCAGCATATTTATTTCCCATTCAGGACTTTTTAAATCTGCGAAGTCAGCTCTATGGAAATGAGCAATTTTTGCCAGCATTACACTGTGTAATAGGTTAAACTGAGCAGAAACCCTGGGGCTCCATTGTGGTGGGGTACACAAGTGCATATCTTTTCTGGGCTTCCTTAAATATAGGCAGGGCCTCTCATTATTTCACCGGCTGCCAGTGATATACTCTCAACTTTTAAATAAACTTGTGACAACTCATTATTCATTCACTCACTTACCATTTAACAAATATTTCCTGTATCTTCTATATCTTCTATATTTACAGGTATTCCAACATAAACATGTCTTACTTCAAGATCTTTCTCCTGAGATTAACAAGAAATCATACATTTCTCTTATTAATTTATTTTTTATTTACATCAAAATATAACATGTACATATTGCTTAGAAAGTCAAGGCTTATAGGGTTTGTAAAGGAAAACTTCAGTTCCTATTCTACTTTACCCCACCCTTAATGCTGCTTTCCAGAAGTCATTTTCAATTTTTAACCACTTCTTGTCTTCATCTCTATATTTCTAAATAATATGTTTCTGTTATTTTTTGGTATTTCAGTTTTAGATAATATCTACTACTCCCAACTATGGAAGATACTGTTCTTTTTTTTAAATGATTACTTCCCCACACACATCAAAGACTTACCCTCCCCCCTCAACCTCTCAATTGTAGTATTGTGATGAATAAATAAATATTATTCACAGTTGAGCCACTATGTGCTAAGTTGTTTCAATTGTGTCCAACTCTTTGCAACCCTATGGACTGTAGCCCATCAGGCTCCTCTGTCCATGGGGATTTTCCAGGCAAAAATACTGAAGTGGGTTACCATGCCCTCCTCCACGGGATCTTCCCGACCCAGGGATTGAACTTGTGTCTCATGTTTCCTGCATTGGCAGGCAGATTCTTAATCACTAGTACCACCTAAGTTGACCATAATTTTATTTCTTTTTTTTTTTTAATAGCTTTTTTACCTCAGAGTTAATCATTTCTTTTCTCATATTTTTAGTTTTCCATGTCCCTATAAACTAACTGAACCTTACTTAAATTCTGATAGAATTGTAAAATCTCTCTGTATGTTCAAATATACCAGGTTGTCTTTCAGTTTCTTCTTCTTTTTTAAAGATGTCAACATTGAAGTCTTTTGTCTGTCTCCTATAGTCTAGACTGATTGCTGCCTATGCCTCATGACCATCTGTCAGGCTGGGACTTCTCTTTAGTCTCATTCTGGAAATTCTTTTACCTCTCTCCTGTGTTAGAGTCCTGTATCCTCAATCCTAGATTTTTCTTTCTCAATTTCTCCTCTGTTTGGTGGTGTATATACTCTAGTAGCTTCTTGAGAAAGATGCAGGGGGACGAGGGAGATATAAGATGCCTCCAAATCCTGAACCTATCTAAGGATCTTTGGTACAAACAACTGCTATCTAATTTGTTTCTCCCCTGCAGGCTTATGTTTCAGCTTTCCCAGCCTGGCAAAATAAGACTATTGGTCATGAAAATTTTGGTGAAATTTCCTTTCTGCTACTGTCTCCTCTCATTCTCTTAGTCCTTATGAGTTTATGCCTTTTATATTTTTTTACAGCAATTTCTGGAGGGAATAGAGATAAACAGATATGTTCTATTTACCATATTTAGCCTGAAGTATAATAATTTTAATACTATAATATAGATTTAGTTCTATATTATATTATATATATTCATATCCATATTATGTTATATAGAATTATATAATTACATTCATATTGTATATTATCTATATTCAAATATGACCATTTATTATTTCATTTACATAACAAATAGAGATTGAACACCTGCTCTATGTCAGGCCTTATTCTAGGTAGGTCCTGGGGATTCAACAGTAAACAAAGTTGACAGAATTCCCTACCTTCATGGAATCTACATAGAATGTTGAGGGATGGCTGGCCAATAAAAAAAGAATAAAATATATATCATAATATGATGTTTTATGGAAAAAAATAATAAAGCCAGTTGGGAACAGCATGTTCACCTTTAAATAGAATGGCAACAGAAGGCCTCGATAGAAATGTGATATTTGACTGAAGACCCAAAAGGAATGAGAGAGCAAGAAATACGACTCTGGGGGAAAAGCATTCCAGATAGAGGAAGAGCATGTGTGGTGGCCTTGAGGTGGACTGAAATGTTCAGGGAACAGCAAAGATGTCAGAGTGACTGAGGAGCGATAAGGAGGAGGAGAGAACAAAGAGGTTACCTGGGGGTCAGGCTCATGTCATCTCTGACTTTAGAAACTGTCACCGTAAGTGATAACCCAGCCGAAACTCGCTCTGCTCCCCACAGGAAAGGCCAGTAACTCAGGAGGCGGGTTGCTGGGGCAAGGAATAACGACTGTAACTGCAAAGCTAGCAGACAGAGCAGTCGGCAGACTAGTCTCTCAGAGAATCATCTTCCCTCAGGCTGAATTCTGGCTCCTTTTATACAGAGGAGGGGGAGGTGCCTACTGCAATGCTGACCAATGGCTGAGGCGGACCGCTAACGGTCACTCGCTGGTTGCTTTCTTGGGGGAGGGGCTCACTGCGATGATGATCAATGGCTGAGTGGGACCACTAACTGCCTTTGGCTAACAGCTGAGCATGCCCAGCTCCTGTTACATAAAGATTTGTATTCAGGAAGCTACAGTTTTGTTTACAGATCTGTCCCCTAACTGGTCATTTCTCTCCTCATCTTCTTAAAGCCCTTTCAGAAAACTAGTTTCTGAGTTGGAAGTTCATTTTCCTTTTAAAGAACCTTAATATTTCCCACTTAGTATTCTCTGTTCAAGACTTGTGGTTGCCCAAGTGGGGGAGGTTGTGGTGGGGGGGGAATAAATTGGGAGTTTGGGACAAGCAGGTGCAAACTATTATATACAGAATGGATAAACAAGTTCCTACTGTATAGCACAAATAACTATATTAAAAATCCTGTGATAAATCATTACAGAAAAGAACATGAAGAAGAATATATATACACACAATCACTTTGTTCTGCAGCAGAAATTAACACCACATTGTAAATCAACTATACTTCAGTAAAATAATTTTTTTTTTAAAAAAAGAGCACTCTATTTAAATATGTGCATGATTACTTCCCTCTCACCATTCGGCTTCACTCAATGCCACCTACTCAGATGTTAGTACCCTAAAAGCTCCCCAAATATTCTCCACCATCTCCCTCTCCACTATTTTTCACAGAATTTGCCACATTTTGCGATTATTAAGTTCATATATTTGTTAACCTTTTCAAAAATTTGGTCTCCACTATAGAATAAATAGTGATTCCCTGGTAGCTCAGCTAGTAAAGATTCTGCCTGCAATGCAGGAGACCCTGGTTCAATTGCTGGGTTGGGAAGATTGGGAAGAAGCCCAATCTTCTTGGGCTTCCCTGGTAGCTCAGATAGTAAAGAATCTACCTGCAATGCGGGAGATCTGGGTTCAATCCCTGGGTTGGGAAGATAGATCCCCTAGAGGAGGGCATGGCAGCCCACTCCAGTATTCTTGCTGGAGAATCCCCCTGGACAAAAGAGCCTGGTGGGCTACAGTACATGGAGTCGCAAAGAGGTGGACATGACTGAGTGACTAAGCACACATTAGAATAAAGGACTTCCCAGGTGGCTCAGTAGTGAAGAATCCACCTACAATGCAGGAGACTCGGGTTCCATCCCTGAGTTGGAGGAGCCCCTGGAGAAGGAAATGGCAACCCACTTCAGTAATCTTGCCTGGAAAATTCCAAGGAGAGAAGAGCTTGGCGGGCTACAGTCATGGGGTCACAAAAGAATCACACATGACTTAGTGACTAAATAACATTAGAATAAAAGCTCCATAGAAAGGACAATATCTAACTTGTTTTCTGTATACTGCACAACCCAACCTTCCAGTGCCTGAGCTATTGGACGGATAGGTGGACAGATGAGTAGAGATGACTTTGGGCAAAACTGGGAATGTCCAATAATTACTTTAAATTGGCTCTTTAAAACATCCTCCTCCTTTTATCCTATTCTTTAATTTCATTTAGCCTGTGCTTTTAATTATAAAGAGACTAATAGAAAAAACTTTAAATGTCTTGAATTAACACTTGTATCATATTCTCAAGCTGCATTTTCCTCTTCAGTGTGTTTTATAATCCTTATTTCATTTGTGGCTTATAACAATATAAACCATAGGCTGTGAGCCTAGCTCGCACACAACTTAATTGAATGTAATGTTTTAAAAAGAAAAACTCACATCTATTATGACTTGAAGCCTCACTTCTTTAATAAGAAAAATCCCAATATTCTTAGCATAATAGTGTCTACTGGATTATCACTCTGTTCGTTTTTGAAAGCTGAGATTTTGCGGGGAGAAAGATGGGTGATGAATGGGAGGAAGACCTCTAAACACTAGTATCACCCATAAAGAGCTAGAGCCAAATGAGGAAGGAAGAAAAGAAGAGTAGCAAGAGTTGTAGGAATTTTGGCTAGAGGTTGATTGAAGCTGTTGAGACTTTAACTAAAGCAATGATATTGTAATGGCCATGTGAGAATTTGATGGATGATGTGAGGGGTCAAATAAAAGTGAATTAACTCAAGCAGTAAACAACATGGAGGAAACAGCCATTAGCGGGAGAAGGGAAAAAAAATCTACATGGAAAACTTTGAAGGGGCAAAAAGAAAAGAAGGAAAGGACAGCTGAGACCCTTGGGACTCTTCCACAATGAGCTAAAATTGGCTTCTTGGATGAAGCCATCATTATTGATTCAATTTAAATTTTTTTTGAGAGGAAATTTAAGATGTTAAAATAATTTTAAATGTTTCTGTTTCTTATTATATCCCTCTATCCTTTAAGGTTTATTTTTTGCTTCTTTTGTTTTAAGGAACTTAGCATAAAGTTTCATGTATAAATAAAACTCAGAGAAGTTTTATGGATCTTGGAGAATCACCTGGCCAAGACCTCCTTTTTTAATATACATTAAGAAACTGAGGTCCAGGTTAACTTGGCCAAGGTGAACACCACATAGTCTTCTGTTATTTCCAGTTCTACACTGAACAAGTTGAGTCTGATTCACCTACATGTCCATCTCATCCAGAACTCACAGAGTCTAGCACACTATATAAGCGCTCTATAACCTGAGCTGAGTGAGAGAGAAATGTAAACTATTTCTGTTTGGGGTTATGCCTCATGGGCCTGTCTTCTAAAAGCTCGACCTATTCTCTCTAACTCATACACAAGGTAATAATGGCAATGGATAGGGGAATGCATATGTGCAGTGTGGCAATGGACAATTTAAGGAAATGTGTTATATCAGTCAGAAACAGAGAACTCTCTAAAGTACTGAGGCTCCAGGAATCTGTGAATCCTCTTCATACTCACAAGGTAGCCCCCAGGGTACCGTAGTGCCCCTGGTAAGAGCCACTCATACATAGAGCTGACCAGTAACTGATGCAGATTGAGGTTTATGACTGTACTTCTTGATGGTCCCACTTTTCCTTCTGTTCAGTGGAAACCCATTTTTCCTAGTCCTAAAGAGTTATCATATATATGCTTAACATAGTTTTGAGAGCTGACAGAGACACTAACATGAGCTTCTGAGCACAAATATAATTCAACATTACTTAGTCCTCTGTTTTCCATTTGGTCCACACCTCCATGTCCATCTTTGACAACTAATAAAGCTGTCAAGTGAAGTTCATACCAAGTGGCAGATTCATTCATGTAATTCTTCCAAAGTATCATATCAGCCTTCTAAAATAGTGTTAGTCTACTCTGTCCACATCTAGAGAAAGCAGAACTTGGCAAAGTTAAGTGGCTTTCTCAGGGCCATGCAAAAACCTTGTTCAAACCAAGGACTGTAGTACTAGAGTACCCTTTCTATATTCCATTCATTTCCACTAGGGATATCTCAGTCAGATTGAAAAAATAATCAGAGCAAAGCAGGTGGCTTTAGGGTCAAGAGAAAGATTTACTGACCCTTGTAAAGGCTGATCTTCAGAATTGGCAAGCTCTGTACTGAGCTTTTCTTGGATGTCTCTCTAACCGTATATATCACTATGTAATCTATACAGTGGTGTTTCAATGGACAGAGCTCTTACCTGTAATAATTTTCTTTGAACTTATATGCTCTAAGAAATGCCAATAAACTCAGCTGAAGTAATTTCTCACCCATAGCATATGTGTTTACTCAGAAGGACCCTACCTCTCTCGAACAAGCGAACTCCCCATAAAGTCTGCACAGAGCAGCCATTACATGCAAAATGGACATTTGAAAAAGAAAACATTTGACCCTTCCATTGATTGAGCTTTTCTTCAAAGTGCCCTTCAGGGAGTACTGAACTGGTTGCCAGGAAACAGAGATTCTTTTCTGGAATCGATTCTTTCCATTCTAAGTGTCTTTGAATGTGTCACTTATTACAATCTTGATTCCCAACTTAGAATGAGGGTAGTCTTCCTCTTGGGCTTCCTCAGTCAAGACATGTCCAGAGATTCAGGATGTATCTGTAAATAGTTATGAGGTTATTGTGGATGTATGAAATGGCAGTCCTTTTCAATTGTACATTATAATGGAGCTATTTTCAAGTATGTCATTTAGAAGGCACTGAGCAATAGTAATCAAAATAATGAAAAAGTATTTTCCACATTGGTTTGGCAATTAAGTGTGAACCTTCCCCTAGTGTTAGAATGAAACTGTGTGATGCATTTTGAGGGAGGCTGGAATTTTGGAAGAAGCTTGGGTAAGCAGATCTAAGTTCTAGCCCAGCTCCTGTCACAAGTAGCTCTATGATATAGGGTGAGTGTCTCCATCCTCTAGGGCTTGGTTTCTTCATGTGTAAAGTGAAAGATGGGTGAGGTGATCCCAAAGGTCTTATAATGCTGGCTCTTATTCAGTAATTGTGTTGTCTCTTCTGGATCACGCAAAAGCATAAAAAATCATTGACTTCAAGCATTATATAGTCCACTGAGGGAGCTGAAGAACAAACAATTAATAAATAAATAGGGTAATTATACATTGTGATTAGTGCCAAGAAGAACTAAACTAGTGGTAGTGATATACTGTAATAGGGGGAGGGAATTAATATTCAAAGGCAGGAAGGTATGAAGGGCAAGAGGAAGTCCTGCTAATTTCCTTATTTTTACAGTGTGTTGTTAAAATATATTGTTTGAAGTTGACAAATCAAGAAGAGTTTTCAGTATATTATTAAAAGTTACTAGGGTATCATTAGAATAGCAAAACTCAGAATATCAGTCTTTAGAATTACCAGAAGGCAAATACACTCATTCACCACAGAACATAAAGCAAGAAAACCTAGACCATATAGGAAAAGATAAAAAAGAAAGAGCAAAATAATGAATCATGAAATAAGATTATAGAATCAAGACCAAAAGGAGTTTATTAGTAAGTGTAAATGAGAAAATTCTTCCACTTAAAATAAAAAGACTCTCAAATTGGATAAAAATTATAACTCAGCCTTACAATACATAGAAGAAATATATCTTGGAATTGATGAGGTTGGAAAGGCT